GAGGAGAAGGATCCAGGGAGAGCTCAGAGCCCCTGGCAGGGCCTGGAGGGGCTCCAGGAGAGCTGGAGAGGGGCTGGGGACAAGGCAGGGAGGGACAGGACACAGGGAATGGCTTCACTGACAGAGGCAAGGATGGATGGGAGATTGGGAATTGGGAATTGTTCCCTGGGATGGAATTCCCAGAGCAGCTGGGGCTGCCCCTGGATCCCTGGCAGTGCCCAAGGCCAGGCTGGAGCACTGAGGGATAGTGGAAGGTGTCCCTGCTCATGGCAGGGGTGGCACTGGATGAGCTTTAAGGTCCTTTCCATCCCAAACCATTCCAGGATTCTGTTCAGGACTCAGCCGACCCCTCTGTGCCAGCTCCGTGCTATCCATGAGGAGCCTTCCAGCAGCAACCCTGTGCTTCTGCTTCCTGGCTTTTGCTTCTTTTCTCTTTTCACCCTGAGCAACACCAGTCCAGAAAAATATTAAGCCAATAATCAGAAGCACTTGGGAGTTAGAGAGCAGCTGCAGCCACTGATTATTTTCCTTGCAAGAAGGTGTTTATGAGGCTGCAAATCTGCATTAAGAGAGGATGCCTGAAGATCTAATACTTTGCATAAATCTAAGGAAATTAATAGAAAAACCAAACAGGAGCCCAGTTCCTCAGCTCATGGGAGTTGGTGACAGCAAACACAGCTCTGTTAGTGAAACCAGCAGCAATTTGCCCCAGAACTGCCAGTGCTTTGCCTTCAGCACAAAATCCTCACCCTCCAACAAGTGGAATTGCTCACTGGTGACCCACACACAAATATTCCACAGAGCAAAGGATATTTTCCCATGCCCGGGTGCAGAAGAAATCCAATGTGAGGGGAAAGGAGAGAAAGGTTTGATTGTCCAGCTTTTTAACATCGTTGGAAATGAAGTCAGAGCTGTGGCAGCAGGAGCAGGGCACTGCCTGTCCCAGTCCCCCTTTCCTGGGGGCACTTTTGGACCCCTCAGGACAAGGACATGGAAGGGCTGGAGCATGTCCAGGGTGGGAAAAGGGTTGGGAGAGGGGCTGGAGAACCAGGAGAGGCTGAGGGAGCTGGGGAGGGGCTGGAGAATCCCTGAGGAGCTGGGGAGGGGCTGGAGAATCCCTGAGGAGCTGAGGGGGCTGGAGAATCCCTGAGGGAGCTGGAAGGGGCTGGAGAATCCCTGAGGGAGCTGGGAAGGGGCTGGAGAATCCCTGAGGGAGCTGGGAAGGGGCTGGAGAATCCCTGAGGGAGCTGGGAAGGGGCTGGAGAATCCCTGAGGGAGCTGAGGGGGCTCAGCCTGGAGCAAAGGAGGCTCAGGGCCCTTCTGGCTCTGCACAGCTCCTGCCAGGAGAGGTTTGGGCTCTGCTCCCAGGAACAGGGACAGAAGGAGAGGGAACAGCCCCAGGCTGGGCCAAGAGAGGTTTGGATTGGATATTTGGGGAAAATTTCTTCCCAGAATGGGTTTTCTATCCCTGGCACAGCTGCCCAGGGAGGGTTGGAGTCCCCATCCTGGAGGGATTTAAAACCCATGTGAATGTGGCACTTGGGGACATGGGACAGTGCTGGCCTTGGCGTGGCTGGACTCAATGACCTGAGAGAACTTTTCCAGAGGTAATGATTCCATGGTTGTCTGTTCAGCTGTGCAAGCACCCTGCCAGCCAGACAAACCAGTGTCCCAGTGTCCCCCATCACTGGTGGCACTGGGTTCTCCACCCAGACCGTTCCCCTCCTCCACTGCAAACAGCAGCTGCTCTGCCCCACAGGAAACCAGCACTGAAAATCAGGGGAAAAAAAGAAAAATGGACAACATGAGCTTGGATATGGCCAGGGCACCTCGAGGATTTCACCTTCAGGGTCTGACACTGAATTCCATGACAAGAGATCCCCCTGTCCCACCAAAACCCAGAGCACATTATTTTCCCTGAGATTGATTTTACCCCACCCTTCTCCTTCCTGAGGAATTCAGATCTCTTTTCCCAATTGAATTGTACTCAACCACTGCCCACCTTGGGAGTTTCAACTTTGGCATCATTGGGAGGAGACTGAAATATTTATAATACCAATATTTTCTCTACTAAAAAAAAAAAAAAAATGCACAGAAGGTGGGTGGTGTTTTTCTCTTGCTCCTATTAAGCCAAAATCCCAACCACCTCATTTTCCTGTCTGTGTCTTCCACTGCTCCCTAATCCTTGTCCCCAGTTATCCACCTGCAGCCTGCATGAAAGATAAATCATCTCCCCCA